CACGTGGAGGCCTTTTGCTCCCCAGGCTGCAGGAGAGTTCTGCACAGGGAAGACGTGAGAGCTGGCTCGTTTTGGGCTGGCTCAGCCCTTCTGCTGCCATCCTCTTCCTCCTTAGCCTAATCTTGGGGATGTTTTCTGAGGAGTTTGTCCCACTTGTGCTCCGCACGGGACAAGAGCATCACCCTGCCTCTGAGCTTCCCGGGACGCCAGTCTCTCGCCAGGGCAGTCAGACACAGGCTGTAGAGCCAAGCCCTGTCCCCAGGCCACCATCACCCACAGGACACAAATTTCCAGCCACACTGGACCTCGCTAACCAAACCAGCACCCAGCGGCAGTAGAAAGCAGCTTAAACCAGGTTTTAGGCTGCTTGACAGTCCCATTTTATCTTCAGAGCTGTTCTCATTTACAACCCCCCAGTCATATAATTCACATTTTTAACCTCCTTCTTGCACAGCTGTGGGCACAGCGCTTGGCACTATGCCATAAAAGCCTCTTGCCCAGTTGTCCCCAAGGATCCCTCCAGACAAGCTGCTGCCTGTGCCAGCTCCACTGTAATACGGGCCCTGCCGCCAGCTGCCCCCAGCCCTCCATGTCCCTTTTACACCCCTCCTCTAGCCCACTGCAACAAGCCCTTTCTCATCCTTTCCCAGCTCTTCATCTATATTTCAACTGGGAAACTATTAAACACCCTCTGCGTTCAATGCTGGGGTTGTGATGGTTTCCATCTTGTTGCTGCTCTTCTTACCAGTGATACTTCAGCTGCTTTTTTGACTGCTGCTGAGTACAGGTAGATGCTCTTTTTTTAACGGTAAGAACCAGATTGGAGGTACTGCTGCACAGGTAAAACGAGCTTAGGGCCTTTCTTAACATGCTTTTTTTTGTCAGCAGAGGGGTGCTTCTGCCCTTTGTACACCTTACCAGGGAACAGCACGAGCGGGGCTGCTCCACAAGGGGTGACTAGCCAGCATCTAAGGGTGACCCCATGCCCTCGCTACCAGGCATAGTCCCACGGTACCTGAGCAGAGACAGGCGTCGGCGACAGGGCCCATCCACAGAGCAAGCGATGAACCAAGTCCAGCATCCACCCAGTCAGGAAACAGGGCCAAAATCAGGACTGGGTAACAAGGCTGCAATATATGCCTAGAAGACAGGGCTAGATGCAAGGCTGAAACGGGAACACCTACAAGATTGCTCAAAATAAGACCAAAGCCCCAGGCTTGAGCTTAAAGGCAGCTCAAGAGGGTGGGAGGTCCCAGCTGAGGCTGCTTAGGACAATTCAGGCCATTAGCTCCACCACAGGTGCCTGCCACAGCGGCGTTAGAGGCACGGGGCAGTAGATGACATCAGAGCAAACCAAAAAGTGCTTCTTCAAGCTGAGTAGCGGATCTGTGCATTCATTGCCCCAGGGTGCTCAAAGTATGTACAGTGGCAGGGGGAACTGGGAGAACTTTCTGGCAAGGAAAAACATCGAGGATGGCTGGAAATACCTGGTTTAGAGGTGCTTACGCTTCAGTGAGTTGTTAGCTGGGACAGTGCATACCTGCTTGCTATCCTCTTACGCCGTTCAGTAAAAGTTCCATTTCGGCCACAGCTGGTGGCCCACTAGATGGACCTTTTCTCTAATGGAGCCGTGCTGTTCTTTCTGGCCCTGCACACCACAGGTTGTGTTCCTTTCCCAAGGTTTTTTTTTTAAGATGTTCCCTCGATTTGGGCTGAGGCAATTGGATCCCACCTCTGTCAGCTGTCAAAGTCCTCTCATTCTCCTGCAGGGGCTCCAATTCCCTGCTCTCCTCCACCGCATTTAGCTTGCTGTTTCCAATTAGTTTGGCCAACATCTGTCCCATCCCCAAGGATACAGAACGTTTTCATGACATCACTCCCAAAAATACACAATCCCAACCCCCATCTTTCTGCACCCTTTGGGTCTGGAGTTTGTCCTAGCTTTGGTGGCTTTCCATTTGGGTGCTTCCCTGTAGTCACCAGGTCTTGACTGCATGGGAAGCAGGCACTGGTGCCCACAGCGTGTGTTGGGATAAAGCTGAGCACCCTGTCCTGACACTGGTCACAGAACTGGCCCGCTGCAGCCATGCCATTCCCTCACAGTACGCAGAGATACTTGGATGCATGCAGCTGGCAGAGCAAGGATGTCACTCCAGAAGTTCTTGTTATCTCTATTCCCTCTCCCTGGCATCACAGAGATGCTGCTTGCCTAGGCCACCACAAGTGATGGTACCTGGATCCACCTCCAGCCCGCGCAGGAGCATTTTGAGCAAGCACAGCAATAGTCCTGCTACTCTGCCTGTTGTGTCCAACATGAGGCAGCAAGGTGGGAGGACAAGGGGTCATTCATTGCGGCCAAGATGCAGGTGGCCTTCACCCTGGGACTGAGACTCAAGGTCACTTGCTGGCCTGTCTGTCACTTGATGCTGTACAACTGCTCTTACCCGCCCCTCACCTCCCAGACAGCCTCAGAGGAAGAGCACCAATGACCAGGATGGAGTAGGTAACCCCTGCTGAGGGACGAGCTGAGGTGCTGCAGCGTAGGAATGCTAGTCTAGCTAGCAGGATCGAGTGACAGGCTGCGATACGGTCTATCCACAAGCGCCCAAGGAAGCAGTTGCAGAATCAACTGGGAGTATTTCTGGGGCAAGAGGTGCTCTAGAGGTAAAGAGTACCACAGGGACGCACAGGCAAGACAGGACACATTAATTAGTGACTTGGCTGCAGGCATCAGCCCACCCTGTGCAGCCATCCTGCCTGAGACATAGGGCAGCAGGCAGGAAAGTCCACAGGAATGGGATGAATAGGAGAGATGGAATAAAAGGACAAGAAACAACAGCAAATGCCTGTGAGAGGTCGCTTGCAAGTTGGAGAACATGCATGCAACAGTGCTACGGCACTTGCACGCTTCAAAAGGGTTGCGTACACATTGGGAAGGACTAGGAGGAGCGACAAGAGGGATATGGAGCTGCCAGGGGGAGAGAAGACTCATCCTGAGACCTTTGTTCAGAACAGCTTCTTGCGGTGTGCACAATGCCACCAGCCCCAAGCTGTGGCCAGGCCATCTGGACAACGGTCACAGAGGCAGCAAGGGTTCAGGGTGGCAATGACCTGCTGCCAAGCCCACCATGAGAAGGAACACCAGGTCTAGGAAGGAAAAAGGGGCCCAACAGTCAGCCACAGCCACATCTTAACTCACCAAGAGCCCTTGGCCTGGGGAGACTCCACAGCTTCCAGCTGCAAGACACATTGCAAGTGTCGGGAAAGGGACACTTTTGACAACTCCGGTGTATAGCCAGCAATCTTGCTTGCACCTAGACAGGCCCAGCTGACGCTGTTCCCAAGCCCTGGACCAAATCTGAGCTCAGAGCTAGCTAGTACATTCCAAGAAACGAGCCCTCTTCATCCTCCAGCATCTCCATGGCCTCTCTGGGTAGCAGAGGTGGGAAGGGGATCTGGCACAGTTCTGGTCCATCCCTGCTTAAAGCAGAGCCAACTAGATTGCGTTGTTCAGGATTTATCTGGTCCAGGGTTGAGCATCTCTGACAATGGAGATCCCACAGCGTCTCTGGGACTGTCTCAGACCTTTACTGCCCTTGGGAGGAAGCATTTTTCCTAACATCTGATGTGAATTTCCCCTGTGCAGCTTGTGCCCATCGCCTGAAGTCCAGCCCCAGCGCAGATCTTTCTCTGTGATCGCCCAACCCAAAGCTGTGCAGCAAGTGAAACTGCTGGTCTGCAGCCTGGCCAAACCCAGGGTCCCACTCTGGCTCCAATGGAAAAGGCCTACCCTGCACAGGCTTGGCTCGTGTTCATGCCGTGGGGACAGGGGCTTCTTGTCTATCACCTGCCCACCCCTCCTTCCCCAAGGAGAGACTGCCAGGACCCTGCTGCTGCTCAGGGCCATTGGCAGAGGGGACAGGGCTGAGACCACGTAAGTCAGCAGGAGTCCCCCCAGTAGCCCCATCCAGACCTGGCCCTGCTAGCTCCTCAGTCCAGCAAGAAGCAGCAGCTGAAATCTCCTGTGCAAAACCACAACCCAGTGGTGGCTGCAAAGCGGCCGCAGGGGTGGGTGCACAAACCCAGTTACAAAGGAGAGAAGTTGCTACGAAAGCTTGGCTCCCTGACCAGTTTGTCCAGAAGTGCTTGCCTGCAGGGAGTCCGAGGGACAATTTCGCTGGAGACATGTGTCCCTCTTGGAAAGCAACCCACAACTGCCCGGAGAGACAGTAAGCGCTGAGGCACAGTGCTCCCTCAGGACAAAGCAGCCTGGCAACGGCATCTCAGATCCAGCCAGAAAGGGGGCAAAAGGGTTAAACACAGGAGACAGACGCCCGAGGAACTGGCCCCCAACCCTTCCCAGGAACCATGTGGAGGACAACAGTCAAACATCCATCTGACAGCAGCGTCTTACAAAGACCAAAAAAACCAAAACAAAAAAAAAAGCCTTCTTTATTGAGAGCAGCACATAAAAACCCAACAAAACCCAACCCTTCTTGGCTGCGGTACCCTCCGCTCAAGCAAACAAACTAACCCACTCTAGGCTGCATTCCAGTAACAGAAATACTATGGTAGGGAGGAGTCAGCGCTCTGGAAGAGGAAGAGGGAGAGAGGGGCGCTGCCCAGAGTCGTACAAAAAAAGGCACAGGGTAGTTGGGAAAGGTAGTGAGCTCCTTCATATGCCAGGCACTTTGTATTCCCGCTGGCTGGCCTGTACCCGTGGGGCGCGGGGGAGGCAGGCATGCCTAGCACAGACGGACGGACAGACGGACTGAGAGAGAAGCCGGGCCAGGCCGGCAGATATGCACGTGGCGAGCAGGGACGGAGAGCCTGGTGCTGGAGCCCAGCCCTCGCCGGGTGACGGGGAGCTGCGCTCCATCCATGCTGGCAGCCCAAGAGCACCAGGCTGGGCAGGCGGAGAGCAAGAGGCGGCGAGGGCTGTCTTTCGGGACCCGTGGAGGAGAGGGGTGGGGGGGCTGGGGTACACTGGCTTGTGGGTTTTACCCAGCGAGGGCCGGGATGCTCAGGCTTTGCTGTCAGCCGGGCTGTCCCCAAGAGCGGTGGCGAGCTCGCTGAAGGAGGGTCGATCCTTAGGGCTGGGGGCCCAGCAGCGCTGCATCAGCTTGGCGAGGCGGGACGGGCAGCCCTCCGGGTGCGGGAGCTTCGTCTTTCCTGACTGCAGACCTGGCGTGAAAGCAAAGTCCATAGGGCCACTGGGTAGAGGCGTGATGCTCTTCACGGGGTGCAACGAGGGCAGCATCTCTCCCCGCGGGCTGGAACAGCCTCCCCAGTGTCAAGAAAGGGGATGTCACAGCCTGGCTGGCCCCCTTCACCACAAGGAAGTAGGCTACAACGCCGGGGACAGCCCGAGGTACTCCACATACCTGCTAGGACCTCATCATCTGCCAGTGGGGCGTAGGGCATCTCCCCGTGCGTGAAGACCTCCCACATGAGCACCCCAAAGGACCACACATCTGACTTGGTGGAGAACTCGTCCTCCAGCACAGCCTCCGGCGGCATCCAGCGCAGCGGGATCCAGGCCTGGCGGAAGTGGTAGTACTCGCTGCAGGCAGGACAGGCAGGCCATGAGACCGGTGCCATCCCATCCCCTCCCGTTCCCCTGCCGGGCTCCCAGCTGACCTGTTGTACACATCCTTGCTGAGGCTCAGGGACGAGACCTTGACCTGCCGCTGGGCACTGACCAGGCAGTTCCTGGCTGCCAAGTCGCGGTGCACAAATCTGCCATTGGAAAGATGCTCCATGCCCAGGGCCACCTGTGTGCAGAGAGACACCTGACCCCAGAGAGATGTCAGCACCGGCTGTGCTCCCTCCTCAGGGTCCCCAGCCCCACAGCATTTCCAAAGCCGCACTATCACCTTATGTTTGGTAGTGAGGGGCTGCGGCTTCAGAGACTCATCTTTGCTCTTGGAGATCCTCAGGAACTGCTTCAGGTCCCCCTGGGAGACAGACAGCAAAACTCAGAGGCAGCATGTCCCCAAGCTGCCAGCCCCATCGGCCTCTGCAGTGCCTGCATGTGGCAGGCCCATGGATCCTCATCTCCTGAGCCACAGTCCCCTCCCTGCCTGTCCTCCTGGTCCCAGCCCTGTAGGGCAAGCCCATGTCTCACTTCTGGGCCTCAACTGGCTAAGATCAGGGCAAGCAGGCCTCATGTTTCCAAGAGTTATTTCATGCCCCAGACTCATTTCTCTTCCATGAACTCCAGGCCTCCCCACAGCAGCTCTCAGCATTCGCAGCCATTCTGCAGCACGGAGTCCCACAGCTTAACTTATTCAGCTGAGTCCTGGACATCAACCAGAAATCAGAAGGGTGTGGAAGAGGATGAAGTCACCTCCAGGTCTTGCAGGAGACCTCCACTCCCCTTGAGACTCCTCTGCACGCTGGCAACAGGGGTAAACTCAGCCTGGTCTCCCTACACCTTGCTTGTCCTGCGATGCCAGCCTGGACCATGCCACACTTGCAGACCCCATGTCCACTGTCCATCCCTCCTCCTGCTCACCACAGGCACTGCCGGCAGGACCCTTACCAAGTCCACATACTCCAGGACCATGTAGTGCGGCTCTGCCTCGCGGCACAGCCCCAGCAGCCGCACCACGTTGGAGTGGTTCAGCTTGCCAAACATCTCTGCCTCTCGCCGGAAGTCCAGCTGCAGCTGCTCATCCCTCGTCTGCAGGCTCTTCACCAGGACCAGAGATTCACCCTCGCCATCCTCTGCACCTTTTGCCTTGGCCAGGAACACTTCACCAAACTCCCCCCTGCCTGGAAGTGCAGAGCAGCACATGGGAAGACAGCATACATTGGGACAGCACATGTATTTGACAGCCCAGCACCCGCAGGGCCCTCTGTACCCCAGCACATCCAGTCTTCTGGCTAGGACGTGCCAGGGTTTCAGCCACAGGTTTCCTGCAGGACTGGGGACAAGGGCCAGGGTGGCCCATCATACCCAGGGTTGTGATTGTCTGCAGGTTGGAACGCGGAAAGTGCATCTTGTCGGCAGCACTGTGCCGCTTGCTGGCCCCAGAGCTGCTGCCCAGGTTGGTCAAGGCTACTTCTTCCTGGATCTCTGCTGTCTGCCCATTCTGTAGCAAAGCACCACCTGCAAGGGAAGCACAAATGGCTTCAGCATCCTGCCAGGCTGTGCAGAAAATCTCATGCTGGGGATCAGTCCCTTCTGGGACCAACACTCCGAGACCCACAACTGGCTCCAAGCACCCCAGCCTGATGTCTAGCCCCAGGCAACAGAGTGGCCTCCACACAGTTGTTCCCTCCGGGCTCACGTCCGGGCTCCTCTCTGGCAGCCCTGCAGCTACCCTTGAAATCAGATGCCGAGCAATGGCTTTGGTCCCAGAGCCACCCAGCCCCATCTGGTCTTGTCCATCCCATGCCACTCAGTCATCCCAAAGGGGTGGCTACATCCAAACCACCATTGACAAAACTCTGCAGAACAGCAGCAGCAGATTGGATGTGTGAGGCAAGGACAGAGCAGAGAGCAGACCCTGCTCGCTATAACCACAGTCTCTTGATGACCAAGAGACCCTCAAGTCTACTTGGCATCAGCTGCTGCAGCCTGACCCCCGTGCTCCTGCTCACTTCCCAGCAAGCCAGCAATGCTCGTGTCCTTGGTAATCTTGGACTGGCAGACCAGATCAGCCTGCAGCTTCCTTTACCACCTGGGTTAAGGCAGTGCTAGGAAGCTTTCTGCTCAGGAACTCCACTAGAAATTTCGCTGGCACAAACGGAAAGCCAGTGAACAGGATAAAACATTATTGCGTTAAGAAAGTACAGAACTCGACATTTTACAGGCAGCTTGTAGGGGAAAGACTGTACAGATAGCAAACCTTCTTGATTTTGAATGCACTCATTGCTCAGATCAGACTTGGCACTAGGCAGTGGTACCTTCCATAAGCTGAAGGGAGGAGTGTGAAGATAAAGCGAGGCACAGCACCGAGCTAAGGTGGCTGACATGTGTGCAGCATCACCCTGCATTACTGTGCGCATTCCATTTCAGCTAGTCCAGGAGCAAGCATTAAGGAAACACCTGGCCATGCAAACGGATTTAATCACACAATTAAGACTTGACCCAACATGAGGTAACTCCAACAGGAATCCCACCGCCCATCGTTTCCATCAAGGGGCCTTGTACAGCAGCGTGTGTACGTGCACGCTTACAGTGTGTGCGTGCGTGAGATGCTGCAGCCCACCAGCACATCCTGAGCAGGTCTGGCCACAATGACAGGGACTGTGGCTTTGTCACAGGTAGGCTTGGAGCCGTGAAGACAGAGATATGTTGACTTCAGAGCCATCGCTACTGACAGCTGTCCTCTCTCACAGGCCAGAGCAACATTTGCAGAAGACCGTAGTGAAAAAACACCACGTACCCTCTAAATCAAAGCTTGATGCTGCTTACACTCTCCCTGTTTTTACACTAATTATTAGCAAGACTGCCTGACCCTGTGCTGTCTGCACTCATGACTGATAGTGTCTCAAGACTACAAGCTTGAAGCCAAGAGGATAATACAAGACGACCACTGCAACTGTGCCAAGAAAATACCGAAGGCTGCAGAGTGAGTACGCTCCCACTGAGAGACAGCACCAGCGGGCAGCAATGACAGACACTTCTGAGAATGGACATCCCCACATTTCACAGAGCTTTGACAAGGGGACCACAAAAATGAACAGAAGTTTAATTTATGTATCCAGCAGTCCAGATGGGAACCAAGTGTAGAGGAGCTGCCTGCTTTGCCCACCTGCCTGCAACACCTGAGCATTTCGTGGAGAAAGAGACGCAGCCATGCTGTCCTGGAGAAATTAGCACATGCCAACATCAAAATCAAATGCTCCCCTTGGTCTCCACAGCCGTTAACCTCCCCAGACGCTATGTCTGTGTTCACCCAAAAATGCAGCACAGTCAGACAGAGGGAAACTGAGAGGAAGCACCCTTTTTACAGAGGATGTGGCACACCAAGGACGTGACCTTGGAAGGTGACTGACGTTAGGAGTGCATTGATCCATAGGAAATCCATAGCAAGGATCCACTGCAAATCCACAGGAAGGTCAAACCAGTCTGGCTCCTGAGGGCACTGGAAAAGTCAGCTGGCCACCAGCCAAGGAGTACTTGTCATCAGGTAGGTGCTGAGATACTTCAGGTCACCCAGCTAAAGAGGGACCACATCAAAAGGAGGAACAGAGACAAATCTTTGAAGACCATGGTGAAGGGGGTGACTCCACCGGAGCTGACAGCAAACACAAGCCACTTCTCCAGAGAGGCTACGGGAGTACCAAAAAGGGGTGTAGACATCTGAGCAGCTGGGTCTGCTTGTAGCAGTGAGGATGCATCTCTCTGACAGCTAAACTGGTTCCAAATGAAGGGGATAAGAGGAGGCAAACTCTGGCAGAATAAAAAGAAAAATATAATAAAGATAGGCCAAAACAAAAATCTGAGACCACCTCAAAAAAAGATTAAAACGAATCTTTTCCCAGGAAGAGGATGCTGGCCAGAGGCTGTTGGCACAGGTGAGCTGCCTGTGACTTGTCCACAGCAAAAGCTCACAGTGGTGACAGCAGCAGAGCACAAAGCTGCAGAGATACTCCTGCATCCCTGCTCCCAGGAGGCTCTCCACAGCCAGACTTCTCCTCTGGAGGTTTGGCTCTGTTCAAAGTACCAATACAAGAGCAAAAACAGGAGATAAACCCAGCAGTCGTGTCTTGCCAGGACCTCACAGCAACCCCCACATGATCAGGATGTGGCCGCATGCTGGAGAACTGGAGGGCGAAGCGCAATGTCTGTGTGTACAGTCATGCTGGGGGAGATGCGGGGAATTATAAGGGCAGCAAACTCAACTGCACCCCATCACTTACAAGTCCTCACTGGTAGCAGTGATGCAACAACCACCATGACGTCAGGAGAAAGGGCCAAAACAGCTTTTGGAAATGAGAACGATGTCCCAGAGACCTCCTGGGTTCACTGCAGGAGTCATGTGGCTCATGCACAATGGGGACTCAGTTTAGTCTATTTGCAGGGTCTCATGGGAACAGCTGTCAAAACGCAGCTCAGCTGCCACCGGACAGGAGAGAACATCCCCCAACGGACACAGAGAAGGCAGGAACCAGGGTAGTACAACACGCTGCCAACAGGGAAGGGGTGCTGCCAGCAGCTGTTTGCCGAAGCCGCCAACTTAGCTAGCAGCAAAGGTACAGGCCAGCTGTGGCCAGCTGCAGAGGGACACTGAGCACTGGGAGGTGCAGCCAGAGACACAACATGAGGCCTGGGGAAAGCAACCCTGATGTCCCATCTGCAGTGCTGGGCTCAGCCCTGAGCTGCCTGCTCACTCTCCAGAGCGAGCTCTCTGGTCAGGGAACTGAAGCACAGCTGGGAACAGGACACAGCACAGCTGTGTCACTCTGCAAAGCTGGATGCACCAAGTCCTGCCTGGGGCTCCCCATCTCGGAAAGGCGACAGCACAACCAGAAAAGGCGCTCGCAGGAACGATCAGACATACAGAAGCGCCATGTGTTCCAGTGCAGAGCTGACAGGTGAGAAGCTTCAAAAGCAAAGAGAGTTTTTAGATAACCTGTTACACTCCAGAAGTCCTTGTTGGAGGATGCTGTAGATGCTCAAAACTTTTATGGGTTTCAGAGATAACGGGGTGAGTTCACAGCAGAGTTCAGGCCTGGTCAGCGAAAAGTCTTCCCTCCAGCACCAGGAGCTGCTGAACTGTGATTTGAACAGGCCGGCAGAGTACTACTATTTCATTGCATCGCAACAGGGATACTCCACTCCCCTTGGCAAAGGGTGTATGTGACGCCATGTATGGGTGCTGGAAAGCAGGAGCAATACATGACTCAGCAGAGTGGGCTAGGATGCAGGTTTCACACTGACTTGCCTGTTTCTCACCTGGCAGGAGGTCTCTGCCACCAGCCATAGCCAAAACAAAGAGCAAGAGACTCCACGTGTAAGGAGTTGTCCCCTGTTCCCCGGGAGCTCCCTGCCCCTCAGCCCCTCCAGCCCAGGGATAAGGGGCCGGCAGCGAAGCCCCCACCCCCAGGGCTACCGGCCTCACCATTCAGACACTCCATTTCGGGCTCCTCGCCCTCCGGGTGCTTCTTCAGCCTCTTGGCTTTTCTCCGCTTCTTACAGTAGAACATCAGCCCCAGCACAATAATGATGTAGGCAACAGCTGCCCCCACCGAAAGCCCAATGGTCTGGATCATCTTGTAGGGCGTGTGGCTGCCAGGCCCCTCATCCTCTTCCGCTGCCGGTTTGTCTGTGGAGCAGAGAGCACCAAACCCATGAGGGTGCAGAGGGATTTCCCATATCCTGCTCAGCAATGTGCTGGAGGAATGAGAAAAGACCCTCCCCGTGGCTGTGGCCACATGCTCGCCCAGCCACAGAACACTGGGCACAGCGCACCGCGCTGCACACCGACAGGGATGCTGCTGTGACTCCCTAGCAGCCATGACCGGACACGCAGCACCCAACAGTGCAGCCAGCAGCAGGGCCTAGAGCTGCCGGGGATACCAGGAGGCCATGTCACGACGCTGGGCACCTCCCTTACCTACGACGTATAGGAAGGCCTCGCGATGCTTGATGTTGCAGCTGTTGCCGGCAATACAGGTGTATTTTCCAGAGTCCTCAGTGGTGACGTCGTAAATCACCAGGGAGCCATTGGGCATGATCTGAATCCTGCCAAGCACACAGAGCCCTTTGCAAGCACCAGCGGGCAGAGGCAGGCTTGGGGCACCTGCAGCCCCATCTCCCCAGGACGCCTCAGCCCCACGTCCCCAGGGCAATCATCTCGAATCTCAGGCTGTGCAACTCTCAAGAACAAATGGTTGCAGCTCAACTGCCGCATGGCAGGCTGCAGCAGAAAGGGTAACCCTGCGACCAGGGGAGAGTGAAGGGCCTGGGACACAGAGACGACGAACTGTGTGCCCCCACAAGCTGGGAACCTGAGACGGCACCATCGGCACCCACATGCTGGGTAGCCATGGGGAGCACCATGCTGCGCCACATTTCAGTTTGGAATGGAGGTTGTGTACCTGGGCAGGAGCTTGCCGGGATCCAAAATCTTGTCCTTCCCTTTCCACTGGATGTGTGGCACGGGGTCCCCCTCTGCCTGGCACTGGAACATGGCTGTGTGCCCCTGATACACTGTCGTGGGCTCTGGCTCTAGCTTGAAGGTGACGTAAACTGAAGGCAGAGAGGCCGACACGAACGCTGTCAGCTCCTGGGCATGGTGCTGAGCTCCCACAAGGGAGCAGGGCCAGCACTGGCACAGCGGCACGTGCCCTCTCAGGCTGTATGCAAAGCACTGGCAAACCAGACACCCAAGTGCCACGGGGCAGAGCTCAGGGTCAGGCCAGACTTTTCTCTCTCTGCAGGAGCACGCCAGTTGGGTGCCACCCAGGCAAACCCACCGCAAGGCCAGCGCAGCAGGAAACCCACCTGCCTGCCCTAGAGCCCTCACCTGCTACCACAAGCTGCACGGTGGCACGGATCTCGCCCTGCGGGCTGTTGGAGGCGATGCACGTGTAGTTCCCCGAGTCACTCCTGCTCACCTTGTGGAAGGACAAGATGCCGGCGTTGTGGCTGACGTGGGATGGCAGGCTGCTCCCATCTGCAGGACGCAAGAAGAGGGATGCAGTGGTCACGCATGAAGCGCTGTGCCACACGGCGGCTTCCCAGGCAGCTGCAGCACCGCTGCTTCGCCCATGTCGGAGGTGGGCCAGCGTAACTTCCCTGGGGCCCCAGGTCAGAAACAGACATACTGCATCCAAGTCCCCCTTACCTGTTTTAGTCCACTGGATGGTGGGTTTTTCCCGGCCCGTGGCTGAGCAGGACACTGTCACCTCCTTATCAAACTCCATGCACTGCAGCGGCTGGGGTGGCGGGGTGAACTTCAGCTTCTCTGCAGGAGACAGACATTCTGTCAGGTCCCCCCAGCCACAGAAGGCACCAGAGCTGGGGGTGTCACGCCTGCACCCTGCCAGGCAACCGAGCTCCCCACACGGGGAGGATGCGCAGTGCTCGTCAGCATACCTAGCACGTGCACCCGAGCGTATCCCTCGATGCTGCCTGCTGGCGTGCTGCTCACGCACTTGTACATGGTCCCATCATACACCTCCACGTTGTTGATACGCAGTGTCCCGTTCTCAGAGATCTCAAACCGTGAGTCCTGCCCAGAGGGAGGGAGCGGGGCAGAAATGACACTGCCACCAGCCCTAGGTTCAGACCTTGCTTGTGGCACTCCTGACGCTCCACTCCCCCACAACCTGCCTCAGATAGACACAGCCCTGCCGAGACCCACGTGGAGAACTGAGACAAGCTGCAGTGACATCCCTCTGAGGGACATCTCTCTTGTCACTGCCCCAAAAGCATGGGGTTGGCTGCCAGACAAGTGGCTAGAGACAGCCAGTTGTGCACCCATACACCACTAGGATGGAAATGGTGCCAGGAATGTGGCCAGAGTGGGGCTGATAGGGATGCTGGGGCTAGAAGCGAGGCAAGAAACAGCAGCGTCAGAGGAAGGAGCTGAGCAGGTGCCCAGCAGAATTGCCGATGAGCAGCAGGGGCTTGCCCCATCACCTCACCTCAGAGATGGAGACGCCGTTGCGGTACCAGGTGACGGTGGGTTTCAGGGAGGCCTTGCTAAGGCAGTGCAGATATCCCGGCTTGCTCTCCTCCAGCTGGCTGTCCTTGGGCATCTCCACCCACTTGGGTACCGCTGAGCACGGAGGCAAGGGGTTACACAGGGCCACTCACCCCCGTTCCGGCCACCACCAGCGCAGACCAGACAGGCAGCGTGCAGCCGGCCACGGGGCCCTGCAGCCCAGCCATGAGAGATGTGCCTCTCCGCATCAGTGAGGTGATGCACCATCCCACCCCAGCTCACCCCAACCCCCTATCCAGCCCCCTTCTCTGCTCCCAGCCCTTCTCGGAAAGCTGCCTACTAGCCACAGTGATGCTCAGCTCCTGTTTCTTCTCTCCAGCCTTGTTGGCAGCATGGCACGTGTAGGTCCCCGCGTCCGCCTCGGTGATACTGGCGAAAACAAGATGCTCTGCTTCTTGGCGCACCCTGCCAGCAGTGGGAACTCGCTCCTGGTTCCTCTCCCACCAGACCTGGGGCGTGGGTATGCCTCGCGGGACAGTGCAGGCCACGCGGTGCCCCTGGTTCGCTGTCAGCACCTTCGGGGAGAAGGGTGCCATTTCTTCGATCTCTGAGAGAAGGAATAGACAGCGGGGCTCAAACAGGGCAGGAACATGTAGGAAACCCACCAGTATCACCACCCCCACGGCAGGCACGAGCCAAGGGAGAGAGCGCACAAGCTATGTTTGCTCCCCTCACCCAGGCAGCAAGGATTTCACAGATAAACCAGGCAGCTCTCCACGTACTGACCCACTGCTCTATTGTCACATAGCTCCAGAGTGACACTGCAACTCTGGGACCCGCTGCCCACCCTGCCACCAGCCCCAGGACCTCACCTGCTAGCCGCAGAGTCGCCTTCAGCACAAGAGCCTTCCCCCTCTGCCCACGGCCAACGCACTTATAGACACCGGTGCTGCGAGCCCTCACCTGGGTGATCAGCAGGGAACCGTTGGCGAACACGGTGGTCCTGGGCACGTGGGGAGAGGCTGGGCTCAGTGGGCATCTCTGCAGGACATGGGCCAGAGCCACAGCCCTGCAATGTCCTACACGAGCCCGGGGAACCAAGGGGGAGATTTTGTGCCAAGACAAAGCTTCCCAGTGCAGGGGGAGCAGCACACACAAACAAGGAGACAGTGGGACACATGTTTCATGGAGGAAATGAGCTAACAGAAGTATCTTTCTCCGGCCAAAAGGCACGTCACCAGACTGGGCCAGCTCTGCAAGGTGGCACAGCCAGGAGAGGGGGTGGGGGGCACAAGGTGGCGCCCGGGAGCTGCCAGGCCACCGGGCATCTGGCGCCCAGACAGCACCACTCGCCTTGCACCACCTGGCTCAGAGACATCCCGGGCTACAGGACCACTGTCTACCGGCAGCCTGGGCTGGGAGATGTCCCCAGACCTGGGGATTGCCCCATGTGTAGGTGTCTGGGGCTCGGAAACACTCCTGGCTCTGGGTATCACCATGTGCTGGTATCTGGAGGTGCACGACAGCCATGGGCCCAGTGGTTGCTGTGCAGATGTTGGGGGCTGGGAGGTGTCCCCGAGTCTGCGGATCACCGCCTGTGGGCACCTGGTACTGGGACATGCTCCTGACTCTGGGAATTGTCCTAAGTGGGTGTCTGGGGCTTGAGCTGTCCCCAGCTCCATGAAACCACCACACACGGACACCTGGGGCTAGGAGACATCCACAGCTCTGGGGATCATCATGTGCGGGCACCTAGGACTGACAGCCCCACAGACTCATTTGAGGACAAACTGCCTCCTGAGTCTCATGCAGATAAAGGCCACGCACAAGTACCACGGCCCTCCTAACCCCAAGCCAGCCAAGCTGAGAAACCAATCCCAGTGGCCGGCCTGATGCTGAATGCTTGCCCTCGGGCCCGGCCAGGGTTTGGCCTCTCACTGTTGCTTCTGGAACGTGGTGCCCGCTCTCCACCCAGCCCTGCCCACGTCACTGGGGTCCCTATTACTTGGATCTGTTGGTGACGGGGCTGTCTTCAAAGAGCCACTCCTGCGTGGGAGGAGGCACAGCTGCAAACTGGCAGTCGAACATGGCCTCTTCGTTCTTGGTCACAATGAGGTCCTGCGGGACGACCACCGCCTGAGGAAAGCTCTCGTCTGCAACGGCAGAGACCACAGGAGGCTGAGAAGAGCAAGAGCGGTCTGTGGTGTCCCTTCACCAGCGCTCTGGGGGAAACTCAGCCGAGAGCTAGGCGCTCCCCGCGAGCAGGCTGCGGGTCCGGAGGAGGCAGACATGCCAGCATGGCTACAGCTACACAGCCAGAGCCCAGGACTGCCTGCAGCAGCTGCTCTGGGGAAAGCCCCTTCTGCTGCCAGTAAGGCACTGAGCACCCCGGGATCCTAGCAAACAGATCAAACCTGTCACCGGACTGCAGTTCCCCTGACCAACTCAAAATACATCTCTAAGGCCAACATCTCCTGCCCTCCCAGGGCCTTGCCTCCAAAGGCCAGCAGGGCGTCTCACCCACGCAGCGCCGCGGTGGCACTGGTATCAGCAAAACCAGCAGCACCCACAGCCTCCAGGGTCCAAACCTTGTTCAAGTAGGGAGGACCCTGGTGCTCCAGCACCAGAGATGACAGCACAGACCTGCTCCAGAAAGACGCAGGGGCAAGTTAACACCTGTAGACAGGGCAGGCTTCAAACCCAGCCAGGTGATTTAGGCCTGTTTCTGGCCAAAGGCTTCGCACAGAGCAAGTCACACCAGACTGGCACTTCCCCCGAAGCCTGGCTCCTGCCCTGCAGCAAAGCGGAGGCTGTTTTAGCCGAGCCCCCAGCCCTGGGCAGCCAGGACACAACTCACCGATGATATTCAGCGTGAAGTTGTTCTGGCTGCAGACAAAGCCAACAGCACTGCGAGCACAGCAGTAGTAGAGACCGTTGTCGTCGGGGCTGGCGCTCTGCAGGGTCAGCGTTCGCTCCTTGTTGCTGACAGCATAGCTGCTGCGGCCGTCGGGGAGGGGGGCACCGTCCCGAAACCACTGCCATGTGGGGCTGCAAGACAGGGGCGAGAGGGTGACCGAGTGCAGGGCGCCGGCAGGGCTCCCCAGAGAGCACGTGTGCAGAGGGAACAGCCCAGAGATGGCCCATGGCTCTCTGTCCCCGCTGCTGGCCCCGACACAGACACGAAGCCATGAGACATGCAGCCAAGTGGACGGGACATGACTGGAAAGCAACGGAGAGTGACCGCAGCACACCAAGCAGCTCAGCGACCGGACTGTGACAGCCCGTCCTTACTGTGCTCCTCGCTACGCGGCTCTGAGGAAGCCGTTTGCCTTCTCTCCCGGTGCTCAGCCACAGGCTCAATCCTGCCTTTCGCCTTCCCTAGACTCTACTGAATCCTCGCAGGAGAGAGGAGAGAGAGACAGAGGAAGAGCACGCAGCAAAGGTGCAAGGGGACCCGTGGCAGGCTCTGCTCCTCGGGGGGCAACCCTTACCGCGGGTGGCCATCGATGTGACACCGGAGGACCACTGTGGAGGAGGGCTGGATCTCGGCTATGCTGGCCGGCTGCTTCAGCACCACGCTGCCTGTCTCAATCCCTGCAGGATCAAAGAATATCAACCCAGCTGGCTCTCCAAACCTGCAGAGCCCAGGCGGATGCCGACTCAGTAATAACCAGAGCAGGCAGCAAGGGCACAAGCACGCTTAGAGATATGTAAGCCCTCAAGCCAGCACGGAGCAAAGGGACACCCACCCCGCAGATGTCCCACTTTGCCCTGTGTAGCTGTTCTCTGAGGGATAAGAGGGGCTCTGAAAGGATCTGCAGTGCTCAGGACACACTTGGTGCAGTAACATCCCCATTTCACATATACAAACAGGGAAGGCGTCAGGAGAAAGCATCTCCGACAGCCTTGGGGACATCAGAAGATACAAGTAGCCTAGAGGGCACGAAGGACATGGTAACTGGAGAGAAGTCCTACTGCACAGTTCATGCTGCCCAGTCCCTGTCTGACCACCACGCTCCACACACTAGCAGGCAGTCTGGCAAAGCTGTTTCCAGCCCTGGGCCCTCCCAGGAGAGCGCTTTGCCCCGTCCACGGTGGGCAGCACCAGGCTGTGGCGCATGCCTGGCTGCCCTCGCCCCACACTCACACTTGATATTGAAAGATGCGTTGGCTGTGCGGGCCTCCTCCCCAGTGAGCAAGTTCCTCGCTACACACTGGAAGTCCCCAGCATCCCGGTGCCGATCGACAGCAGCAAACTGGAGGTTGCTGCCTTCCTTGAAGCGCTGCTCGGTGTCCTGAACTGGGAGTCCATTCTGCAGCCACTCAAACTCCACATCCGCCGGCTCCTCCACCTCGCAGCGGAGGATGGCGCTGCGGCCGTGCTGGGCATCCTGGGAGTACGGCTCCTTGGTGAAAAGGATCATCGCCCGAGCCCCCACGGCTGCAAGACAGAAGAAGGAGGGCACGTTTAGAGCACAGGCATGGGGAGATAGGAGTAGGTAAGCATGTGCTGTTCTCAAGGGTCTCCAGACAGCTGAAACTGCAGTGTTAGGAGACACACATCCCAAAGCACATCTGCCAAAAATGATCCCCGATGGGGGAGATTAGACAGATCTGTGCTCAGATTCCAGCACAGCCACTTTAAGCCTGTGTCTCCAGCAATCACTGGGACAGGGCTGCCTGAGCTTGGCACAAGCCACCCTGGGGCCAGAGGCATTAGGAGGGAGCTCCCATGACCCACTGCTGAGTGCCGCATTTCCAGCCTGAACAGAGAGGTGTCTCGCAGTGTATGAGCCAAGACGTCGGTCACCAAAACAGTGGAGAGCAAGCAGCCTCCTGAGCAGTTCAGATGTTTCTCTGAGCTCCTCTTGTCCTGTTTTCTGGGACTCATCCTAAGTCCCAGCCATGCATCAAGATTGCCCAGATCAAAACCACCCATGGATTGTTTCTAGTCTTTCACCAAAGATTCTCCCCTTGGGATCATGTCCCCATCTCACCTCCACATCCTCAGAAATTACCCAGAAAAAGCTGGTCTGGAACAAGAATTGCCCATGGGAATAAACAGTGCAGCTGCTGGAGCACAGCACCAGTGGATGCAGCAGTGACACCCCAAGCTTGTGCTGGGGACTCAGCCCACTTCCAAGTAGAAGCGGAAGCAAGAAATTGCAATGATTGACCCAGGGTCTGATAGTGGCCGTGGGGTGGCTCTGGAGGGCTGGAAGCATCTCTCTGCAGCGGTGGAGAAGCCAAAGAATCCTCCTCTGCACACTAAACCCCACCCAAGAGCTCAGGGTCCCAGGGACAGAGCAGCCAGTGCTTCCCTAGGCATTGCCTGATGCGGCTGCCAAGGGACCGTGCTAGCATATTCCTAAATCTGGCTGCTGCCTGGGGCAGCCAGCCCTGCAGGCGCTCTCCTCCGGTTACCAGCTGGCCGCAGAAAGGAAAGCAGACAAAGGGCAATTCAGCACACGCCGATTGCTGTTGGACTCTGCTCTCAGCACCATGCTCTGCAGGTAAAGAGGCCAAGCCAGGCAGATTTTGAGCGTCTTAGCGGCAATCTGTCATGAAGAGGAACATGAAAGTGGTCAAAATGGTGCGTTCCAGCACAGCTAGCCTGAGCTCCCCGCTCACAGCTACAACCCGGCATAGACACAGATGCTCACCTAGCACTGCTGCTCCCCATGATGAGGCTCCAGTCTCCCACCTCCAAAAACACCTCAGCCAGGAGCAGGGGCACCTTGGCCTGTGTCTGCCAACACCCCTTCCCCATAGTCCAGACAGAGAGAGCAACAAAGTCCTCGCATTGCCAACACCACAGAAGCCTCTTCCCAAAAACACCTGGGCAGAGGAGACAGTAGTCCAGAACCCAGAGGCTCTTCCCTCCTGCAGCCTTTGTAAGCTGGGACTGTGGCTTCAATTCTCATTTTCAGTCACCCCAAAGAAGCCACCAGGAAGGGGGCAGGAAGGAATTGGAGGTCTCAGGAACAGCAGTGCACAACGACATGCCGCAGAGTCTAGGATATGGACCTCGTTGCAGCTTGGCTTTCTACCTTCAGCACCCAATTGTGCCACTAACCTTGCTGTGCAGCCAACATCCCTGGGAGACTGTCCCCAGTTAGGTTAAGTCCCACAACTCCTGGGTGAACATCACTTGTGAACGCATTCACAGCATTTAAGGCCACCAGGAGTAGCCACAGACCAATCCCTGTGGCCCAAATGACACAGCTGCGGACAGTGCCGAAAGTCCTATCTTCTGGGTCTTGTATTGAGCTAAGCCCCATCAGCAAAGGGTCAGCACGTCCAGGGAAGTTTCCATCGTCAGCTACCATGCACCTCCCCAAAAGGTAGGAACCATCCATCAGTCTGTGACAGCTGTCTCCTGAACACCACAAGATGAACGCATGCCCTAAGGCAACACAGTGTGTGGGAACACGTGCTCCTACATAGGTATACACATCCAATTTCCCACACATCAAATCCGTCTCACCAAGAGCACTCTGCAGGGTAGCAACCACCCGACCCCATGCAAACACAGCTATGTGCTCAGTAGCACAACAGCTCCAGAGTATCAGGAGCTGAGCTCACGCCTAAACAGGCTGCTGAGTCAGCCAGACAGGAGCAAAGGGGAACAGGAACAGCCAAACCCACTCAGGTTTGGACCTACAGGAGCTGGATCAGTCCTTCTCCACAGATATGCTTCAGGGCACCAAGGCACATGTCCATCAAAGCGTACCTGTATGGCAGAAAACACGCGCAAGGCGGCAGTGTGCATTAGGAGAGCTCGTGAAGGAGGTGGATCAGTTCTCCTCTTGGGGTCTCAACAACTCAAAACCTTTCACAGTCTACTAGTCATGGTAGTGCTGAGTTAGTGATGAGGCACTTCTCTCTGCAGGTGTAGGCCATTGAAGTATTAAGACATGATACTTTAAATTAGGTGTGCTTCTACCTTTAAATTGTCAGCATTAGCAATATAACACTAAACAGCAGCAGAACTGCGTTCACCCCATCACTGCCAGCACAATTGCATTTCACTCGGCACTGGTCAGCCAAGAGCTTCAGCATCCCCGTCACACACATGCTGCTGCCTCAGCATCCCCCCTGTCCAGGCAGGAGGACACAGCTCTGTAGACAGCGGACATGATGAAGGCTTGGCACAAGCTCCACATGGGAAGCAGGGATTTTACAAGGTGTCAGGAAACACTGGGATCCAGCTCCCCGGTGAAACAGGAGAAACTGTCTTTATCTTCCATCCTGGGGAGACGGACACAACCATTTCAGTTCAAGCGACATCCCTGTGACGAAGCTCTCATGAGCACAAGTGCCAAAGCAAACTGGGATAAACAAGTGTTGAAGTGCAACAAGAGCCAGAAACTTGTGTTTTGTTTTGAAAATAGCATCCAACGTGCCACGTATGGACAGGCTGCACGTGCTGGAAACCATTGTCCCAACCACATATCGGATTCGGGCTGCAAGGATAGACTGGTAGCAGCTAGATGTGGTCCAGATGTTTTGGGGTGGAAGACATCAGAAGCCCAGAGCTGGACATAGCTTTTCACGGTACTCTAAATTCAGAGCACCAGGGCCCAGTGTTCGGAGGTGGGAAGTGCTGCACTTTGCCCTGGTCCAGGAAATGGCTGCAGTCAGGCGGGTTCATGCATCCCCTCCATCTCATCTGGGCTTTTGGGACACAGGCTCAAGAAAGCTGTCCAGGCAGAAGGCTATCTGTGTGGGATGCCATTACACCAGAGTTTGGGTAAAAACTGTATAAAGCCAATAGACATCACCACCTGTGCCGAATGAAGAACAAAATGCCTCTGCTTGTTGCACTCACCCAGCACCGCTGCGTGGCAGGGCCACGGTCACGCATGGCTTTGCCATGGGAGGCTGCCAGAGGAGAGGGCTCCTGCAGCACGCGATGAAGAGCAAGGGCAACCCCTGCTCAGTCTGACTGGACATCTTCACAACAGCACGTTTCTGCTGCAGTTTCAGGCGCTAATCCAGGCTGGGACACATTGTTAGGAGCTGCTGAAAAGAGCAAAACAACTCTTTCTCTTGCCTTAGCGAGACCACCCCAAAAAACACCCAGCAACACCGAGTTTGTTGGAAGTCAACTTAGCAAGCCTGAGCCAGTGCAGAGCTCTCCCCTAGTAACACAGCTGGGCCAGCCACAGTCCTGCAAAGCCAGCGCCAAGCAGCAATCCCAAATGTGTGCGCTGGCAAACACCCACTCTCTGCATATGTACGTGACACAAGCCACCCCTGGCTGGGAGAAAAAGAAACCCTCAACACATGTTTCTGGCCTAAAACCATTACAACTGTGGCTACAGAAAGCTTTTCAGGCAAGTTTCAGCCAGAATAGATAAACACATTTGAAATGCAGCACACCAAAAAACACCCAGTGGTGTTTTACCCAAAGGATGTTTAATTGAAATGCAAAACCCTCCTGTTGAGGTAACACACGAAGGCTAAGTGAACTCTGTAGAGAAGTTGCACCGGTACCTACAGGTCCACAGGGTATCATTTCCAGGCACCACAGAGCAGACCGTCTGCAGGGAGGGGACAGGCACCAGCAGGATGCACAAGGACAGAGGAGGCTCAGATCACATCCCAGCTCTGAGGGCACACTTATGGCAAAGATCTGAACGCACGAACACAGCATCCTTCATGCAGAGGTATCCCCCTGCTCAAAATTCACTTCATTTATTTAAGGAGGCAAATAGCAGCTTCCCAGGAAAAACACTAACACCTGCATTACCAGCCTGAATTTCTACCAAGTTGTCCTGGTTTCAGCTGGGATAAAGTTAATTTTCCTCTCTGTAGCTGCTGTGTTTTGGATTTAGTAGGAGACGAATGTTAATGACACCGATGTTTTCAGCTGTTGTTATGAAATCCAGGAGTTTTTCTAGTTTCTCATACACAGCTAATGAGCAGGTGTGCAGGAGCTGGGAGGGAGCACAGACAGACAGATAGCCAAGTTGGACAATGGAAATACTCCATACCATTAATGTCATGCTCAGTTTATACATGGAGGTTGGCCAGGGCGCAGGGAGCTATCTGCTCTTCTCTCTTCCATGAGTTCAAATCCTTTCTTGTCCAGAAGTTCAAACTTTTTCAGGAATTTCGCAAAATTTGTGATTTCTGGGTTCCGTGATTGATACACTTGTACACGAATCAGTTGTCAGGCAGTGAGAAAAACTGTATTGTATACAATTTGTTTTGCATATTCATTATTATAATTGTTATTAACATTAGCAGTAGAATTAGTATTTACTTTGTTGTCATATTAAACTGTCTTTATCTCAACGTAGAAGTTTTCCCTTTTGTCCATTTCTCCTCCCCATCCTGCTGGGGGGGAAGAGGAGGGGTGAGCGAGCGGCTGTCTAGTGCTTGGTTGCCAGCTGCCAGGTTAAACTACGAGCCAAGT